CACTCCGGCCTTTGCCTTTCCAGCTATGACATGGTGCACTATGGCCACTCAAATCAGCTGCGCCAGGCTCGGGCCATGGGAGATTATCTGATTGTTGGAGTCCACACGGATGGTAAGAGGTTTTCTCAGCTTTTCACCTCATGCTACCTCTAGAGTCACCCACCCAGCAACGTTAGCCTGAGGGAGCGAAGATCCCGATACAGAGCAGATTTCTTCCTACATCTCAAGGAGCAGCAGCTTCCAAAAGAAAAGTGTATCTTCCCTGGGTAAGGGAGTGGAGTTATCCTTTTCACTCTTTCCTCGGTAGCGGACAGAGCTGAGAGCTTGCAAGGTTCTTTGCAGGGGTGCTCTGTAGTATAAAAAGAATTGAATCAGTTAAAAGTCCATCCTGTTATCCTGGCGCAAGCTGCAGAACTGATATCGCGAATCAAGTTTCTGCATGGAGAAAACGTCTTTCAAGCCCATGTGAAAGTATGCGTACTAGGAATTTATTCTTGCATGCGAAGATGGATTTCAAATTGATTTTTATTATCGGTGCATATTTGCCAATGTAAACAAAGTCTAGCATGAAGATACTGATAAAAAGGGAACTTCCCCTTTGGTGCCTTCCAGGAAGCCCAGGTGATCTCCTCACTTAGGCACATCTAGTTACAAGGAGTCACCATCTCCTTTTGTCTTCAAAGTTAATTCCAGGGCCTTTGTTACACATTTATGAAATGTGTAAATGTATTAAAACCTGTTCTGATCTAGTTTGGGCTTCCTTCTCTACTCCTAAGCAATTTTAAGCTGCGCTTGGGCCCACAGTGAAGCTCACCTGCCTATGAACTGAGTAAGGCTCCTGTAGGTGAAAGTGCTCGTAGCTGTAGTGCGTATTTCTAACTGGGGTTTTTTGTTTCTCACCCAGAGGAGATTGCCAAGCACAAGGGCCCCCCTGTCTTTACGCAGGAAGAGAGGTACAAAATGGTGCAAGCCATCAAGTGGGTGGATGAGATTGTTCCAGGAGCTCCCTACGTCAGCACACTGGAAACCTTGGACAAATATAACTGTGACTTCTGTGTGCATGGTGGTGAGTGGTATTCCAAGGTGATATTTGTATTACCACAGCCCCTCTGGGGCTTGTGTGTGCTTGCTTTTCTTACTGCACACCAAGGAACTTTCTGGCTAGCACTGGCGATCAGAAAATACCTCATTTTCACAGACTTCTGTGCTGCCAACACCTGCACTGGTCAGTACAGCTACTGCTGTTCGGTATTCTGGATAAATATGTTTGTGTGATAGGTCCTGTAAGAGTGGTCAGCTCAGCTCCCCTGGTTTCAAGCATCCGTTTTGCTTGCAAAGATGAGATGCGTTGCCTGACATTTATTCTGAGATTGCCATTAGCACAAGCAAGGATTTGTAAATAGTTATTTAACAGTGAAAAACAGTGTTATAAAGGCAAGAGTGCAGAAATACAATCATGCTTATATCTACTTATCCTGAGAGGAGATCAGATCTGAAGGGCTTCTTTCTCTTTATCCGGCTGGTAAGTTGGATAAGTGCTTAGCTAACTGAGCGGTCTGAGACCTAGTTCTTACAGGAACATCTTTCAGTTTACAGTCACTGAAGAGAAACAGTGTTTTGAGGAAACGTTCTTGTTTTCATACTGTGGCCCCTTCCTTGGGCTGCTACTTGGGTTCATTCAGCTTCAGCCCCTTCTCGCTACCCCTTTGAAGGTACTCTGTTAATTTAATTAGGAGTGGTCTTTACGTTCGTCTCACTTCTCCTTTGATCCCAGCTCCCTGCTAGCAATAATTCAAGCATTTCATTAAATATTCTATATTAATACACATTAAGTCATTACTCTTCCATAACATAGAAGTGCTTTTTGACCTGGCAGGATGATTGTCAAATTCCTTGTTAATTTTTTTTGTGGTTTTTTTTTCCATGTTTTGGAATTTTATCCTTGGATGTAATACCTATAACTTGCTATTATGCTTTTTGCTTTTATATGGAATTAATACTTGGAGCCTCATTGCCAGTGCTTGTTTGAGATTAGACATGATGGTTATTGCCTGCACTGAAACTGTGTTTTGGGTACCTGACCCCTTACTTGTCTGGGAGAGAGGTTATGACAACAGAGAAGCCCTAGTGGCCTTTGCTCCAGTTTTCCTGCATTTATCCCCTCTGCCAAAACATTCAGTACTTTTACATGGGTCATGCTCCTGGATGCTGCGGTTTTGTCAGGCCATGTTTGTGCAAAAGATAAATTTTGAAATCGCTGAGCTTAACTGGGAAGATGACAGATAGCAGATCCAGTGTTTCTGCCTCTTTCTTGGCATATAGAGCAGTACTTGCAAAATGTTCTCCCCACCTCCCTTCACTCTGTACCCTGAGGTAAAGGTGTGTAATTTTAGAAAAACTTACCAGCTTTTCTGAGCATGCCACAGCAGTTATGTAAGAGTGAGTACTAGTGAGTTACCAGTGCCTACACTGTAAACTGGGTATTTTGCCAAATGAAAGCCTACTTGGTTTCCACTTGTGAATATTTGAAACTATTGTTAAAGTCAGATGAGAGGTATTTTTGTAGGATGAGTTAGGAACCATGCCCAAGCAAGAACCAGAATTAACTTTGTAGTACTAGCATAATCTTATGGTGAAACAAAGCCCGCTCTGCTTAGCTTATTAGAAACGTAAAAAGGTCTACTGAGATCATTATAGAAGTGCCATCACTGAAGGAAAGCACTGGGTATTGAAGGACTGTTTAACTAACTGGGAAAGTTGTAACATGAGCTAATGGCTGAAAGCAGTGCTAGAGAAAATAAGGTTAAGCTGCTTTTCAACGCTGAGGTTAATGGTAGCTGTTTGTTGTCATTCAGACAGTAATTCAGTCATGTCTGCTGTTGGACTCACTGCAGAGGCAACCGAATCAGATTTTTTTGGACTATATAAAGACAGTGGACTAGAAAGGCTAACGGCCTTTAGCATCCAGGAATATGCTTTTCTCCACAGTTAGGGAAGTATTGCAAACCCCTGACGCTTCCATGGGATGTAAGATGTTGTCTGGGATTCAGATTACAGGAGTTCTTGTCTGGCTTGCGTGCTGGACACACTCAGCTATCGCCATAATTCCAAGATGGCCTTTGTGCAGGAAGGTGTGAGGATGTGATTCTGAGGTTTTTCTCTCTCTGTAGATGACATCACACTAACGATAGATGGCAAGGATACCTATGAAGAAGTGAAGACAGCGGGACGATACAGGTAACCCATGGCCACTTTAATTTCTTATCCTATTTCGAGCAGAGTTTTGGGGAGTTTCTGCCCTGAAGAGAACTCAGATGAAACAGCTGTATTCAGGTCACACTTTCATTTGCTGTAATGTATCAGAGCTTTAGCTGCGCTCACAGTTTTGGCTTCTAGGAAGTGTTGCAGGCTAGCAGCTGACTGGCAGGGCCTTCCTGTCCCTGGTGATTGGCAGTTCTGGTCTTGAAGCCTCACTGGGAGTTATCTCTGTCGGGAAGGCTGTGCAAGGCAAGTTTTCCTCATATGGCCAGTTTCTGTGGGGTGAAAAAGATGCAGCGGCTCAGCAAACCAGTATTATATTCTATATGGAGAGCTGATAGCGGGAAGATTTTTTTTCTCAGGCCATTCCCTAGTTTGGATTTATCAAGTTTCTCAGATGTTCCTGTGGTAATGGCAGTAAGAAAAAGGCATATGCTCCTACAACTTCTGCTTTATCCTTTGCTTGTCTCCCTGCAGGGAATGCAAACGCACCCAGGGTGTGTCCACTACTGACCTGGTTGGCCGCATGCTGCTCATGACTAAGGCTCACCACAGCAACATAGTGAGTCAGAAGGCTGTGGGCTGTGGGAGTTTGAAGCCTAGGACATAATTCAGCTCTTCCCTTTTGCTGTCGCAAATGGCAGTGGAGCTCCTGGGTCTGGCTCCTAGGTGCATGGAGAACTGGCAAGCTGATTGTGGGCAGTGGCAGCAGAATCCCCTGCTTATATTTGCTTAAGCCTGACCGAGATTACAGTGTAGATCCCATGCTGCTTTGGAAGAGAGTGGGGAAATAAAAGCTTTGATCTCTGATAATTGGTGCAGGCTTCAGGAATGTTATGGGAAATGCAGGCTAGCCCGTGGCTTCTCTGAGAGTGAAGTTACATAGTGCAGCCACATTGATCTAGTCCTTCACTTCTATCGGAATAGCAAAGTCCTGTTCTTACCCCTGAGCTGCATTTTTTTGCCTACTGCTGGCTTTGAGTCTCATCAGACCCTTCTTGAGTCTGCTCAGCTTACTGCACAGTAGAAAACCAACCTAACCAAAGAAAAAAGAAAGTCATTTTCTGCTGGATTAATGAGTTGAATCAACTTGGTATACAATCCAGTGATCTGCTGTGTGAAGGCATGGGATGGAAACACCTAGATAATAGCAGGGACAAGATGAGGGAGGAACAAGAGAATTTAGGGGGTGAGGGAGATCCTTCTTTTAGTGTGCTGAGCTGTTAGATTGGTTTAGCTGTATTACATAATTTCACACCAAGAGTTGAAAAATACCACAAGCTGTCTGCAGAGAGATCTGAGCCCATCTCCAGTGGCGTGTCCTTGGAGGAGGGAAGGACATTGCCCTCTTACAGGCCTGCATAGTTGAGGAAGGACATAGGTGTGCAACGCTATCAGCCCTGCAGGTTGGGCAACGCTATCAGCCCTGCAGGTTGGGCAAGAACCGCTGTCACTGTGCGGTGCCAGACTGGGATCAAATAGGGGCATGTTCCATGTGACTAATGCTGGGACATGACTGTGGTTTAGATATCAACTAGCTTATCAGCATTTAGTGCCAGGTAACAATGGTGTCCAGCCTGAGCATGGACTTCCCAGCACTTCTGCCGCACCCAAACATGTTGGCTGGTTGAGCTATGCGAGTGCTTAAACATTTTCATTCTTTACTCTCCCTGCAGGATGAAGACCTAGACTATCGGAAACACACTGACAACTTTGGGAAGGTAATTTTGTGAGTTCTGGGCTTGAATGTCTGATTGTTCCTCTCCTGGCCTGAGAAGGATTCCAGATGTGCTTTCGGGCCTGCATTGCAGGCTTGTCCTTTTCACATTTAGTAGTAAGCTCAGTAAATCTCTGCCACCCCTGTAAAGTAGCTACTGCAGTCAGTGAAATAGGCAGGTAGGGCCGCACAGGGCCAGCACACTGGTGGAGTGAACTCTGTTTTAGTGACATCGTAGATCTGCTGCACCCATTGAGCCTTTGCAGTTTCTTTGGCTTGCTTATAATTTTTTTTTTTTTTGCCACTTCCCTTGGGATCCAGCTCCCTACACTTCCCGCCCAGGGATAGCCTCTGTGGATGCTCCTTTTAGTGCTGTGCATCAAGCCTGGGCAGCATTTATGCAGCAGGCATGTGGCTAGTGTGCAGTTCTGAACAGAATTCACATGCCTGGTCTTCAAATAGCTGAGCGCCCCTACTGGGGTTCTCTGCAGTTGTGTTCAGCTCGTGTCTTGGGCTGCCTCTAAAGAGCTATCTGATTCTCTCTTTCCTGGGTGTGGGATTGTCCCTGATTATCAAGACCCTGAGCAATTTCTTTGTTCACTTGGGTTTTCCTGTTTTTGCGGACCAGGCTGAATCATCCTTTTTGGTCTCCTACACGTTGGATTATTCTCAGCAGGCTTTAAGGGGTCTGTTGCACTAACGTGGCTGTTTTCTGGTTCTTGGATGTGGGGAGACATATCTAGGTACCAAATACTCTGCAAGGCTCCTGTCAGCTGAGTCCCCCTCCTATACACTGCTCTTTGTGTGGCATGCCCTGGTATTAGCTGAATTGTCTTTAGTCCCTTGAGTCTTTTGGAGCTGCTAGCATCGGGGGAGAACTGAAGATGCCGGAGCAGGTGATTCAGTGGCTGTTTCCAAAACTGCCACATGGCGGAGCTAAAACTCCATCTGCTGCGGCACCTGTGCTGGAGCTGGGATCTGGCTCTTTCTTGAGCTCTGGATGATCTCCCGGTAATCAGCTTAGCATACCATCTGTGCAGGTGAATGGGCAGGCAGCCTTACAACTCGAGAAGAGCGTATTCCTAGGAGGATGTGGGCAGGTTGTGCATTGTCTACTGGTTCAGTTAGTAAGCCCTGCCTCTCCTGGAAACCCTAGACTGTCCAGTAGCCCCCCTCCTTTCTAAACTTTCTTCTCAGCATCTCCTTACTCCTTACCTGCCTGCTTAGGGGATGATTAGACTGTGTCTGACAGAGTGAAAAGGGGTGTGTGTGAGATTGCTAAAATATTTAGTGCCAGGAAAGTAGGACATACAAGCTGCTAAGAGTTGTGATTCTTTCTAGCGAATTAAGGTATAGCCCTGCCTGTAGCTGTATTCTGGGAGGTATATGTATGTTGTCCAAATTCCCTCCTGAAGCCTGAAAGGGAGATGTTGTTTGTTTTCCTAGGGGCCAAAAGGTCGCAGTCCCTGGACTGGAGTCTCTCAGTTCCTGCAGACATCTCAGAAGATCATCCAGTTTGCATCTGGGAAGGAACCACAGCCAGGAGACACTATCATCTACGTGGCTGGAGCCTTCGACCTGTTCCGTATCCTTTGTCAAGCGAGTAGTGCTGGTCTGCTTGTCTGATATTCTCACATGTTTAGGCATCAGATTAGGATATTTGTCTCTCCTTTTTTTTTCCTGTAGGTGTGTATGTATGTGAGGGAGGAGGCAGGAGTTCTTACTGGCAGTTTCTTAGCCAGTCACAGGATGCTGAGAAAAGAGCTACAGGTCCTCTGTAGAGAGGACTTGTGGCTGTTGGAGGACTTCAGGAAAGAAAATGGTTGGATACTCTAAGATCGTGCTCTAGTCCCTCTTGAGGACTGGCTGCCACAGATGAAGTGACTGCTATTCAGAAAGTGCAGGGCATTCAGAGTAGACACTTCCTCCTTGGGACTGTCTTTGAGGCACTGTGCCAGAGCACCTGAAATGGGTAGAAATTTTGGACAAAGGCAGCATTGAAACTGTAGAAGCTGAAGCTAAAAAGATGTCTGGCTTTTGCCCAGAACCTGTGGAACCAGAGGAAGAAGGAAGGAACTGCTCCTAGCACATAGGCAGCAAGTGATATAAAAATAAAATCCTTGGGTTTCCTATCTTGCACTGTGGTTTCCCAGTGCATTTGTTTCCTGCTTCTTCTCCTTCATTCTCCCTGTTAGCTTCAGTTCCTTAAACAGATCGGCAGATATTGGGCATGTGGATTTCCTGGAGAAGGTTCACCAGCTGGCAGAAAGGCCCTACATCATTGCTGGGCTGCACTTTGACCAGGTCTGTATATGACATTGCCCAAAGCTTTGGCCCCCATGGCCACATTACCGCACTGACAGAGTAGTCTGGCATCTCTTCTTTCAGAAATAAGCAGACTGGGCTCTGGAAGCCAAGGAAAGGGATATGTTGGCCAATACAGGATTTCAGTGTCGGGAGGAAGTGAGGTGGAAGGGGTTGCTTTGTGTCTCTTCTAATGGTGGCTGGTGCTTTGCCACAGGAAGTAAACCGATACAAAGGGAAGAACTATCCCATCATGAACATCCACGAGAGAACGCTCAGTGTCTTAGCCTGTAGGGTAAGTATTAACAGCCCTATCACTCTTGCACTCTTCTATAAATTGCTTGGGAGTTGGTGTTGTCCACTCAGTAGCCAACAGTCTTGATATGATGTCTTTAATATACACTGAGAAGGCAAAATCAAGACTTTGGCTACCATAGGTCCCGGTGTGCTCCTGTGAGGAGTCACTGGGCTCATCTGGCATCCTGGCTAACCTGAGGTATGGAACTCTTTCATCTCTCTTCCACTGGCAACAAAAAGGCAGGATTCTTTGTAGAGTGCTGCTCTGCACTGCATTAAAGACGGCTATGTTCTTGCAGAAAGGGGAGAAAATTCCTGGCAAAAAGAAAATGTAAGGAGCCCCAGAAATGCTTGTCCTGAGCAATTAATCTTTGAATTTGCTGTGTACACGTTACCAGAAAGTGTATTTTTTAGTGGAAGAAAAAGGTGCTGTGTGACAAGTGCTGGATGGTAAACTCACTTTTCAGTTCCCTTATTTGAGTTCCTAAATTCATAACCAGATGAGCTGCTCAAGGCTGTTTAGGAGACAAGCTGGATTGTTTTTTTGAATCTGGACACTTTACCTGGTTTCTCTTCTAGTATGTCTCAGAAGTGGTGATTGGAGCCCCCTATGCCGTCACTGCTGATCTGCTGGATCACTTCAGGGTGAGAGTCTTCATGTATAGATAGATGTTCTCGAAGATGTTGGTAATCGATGTGCTGAGGGAACTGAAGTGGCGCAGGAAAACACAAGGGTATAGAAAAGAGATTGTCCTGCTCGTCGTGATTACAGGAACTCGGGAAGCATCGCTGAGCCTGATGCGTGAGGGTTGGCTTTGCTGATCTCCAGGCTACGCTGCGGTGAGGGCAGTGGTGGGGAAGATTCCTTTCATCTTTTGGAGGGAACATGATAATGTCAGTGATTTTGTACACCTTTCTAGGTAACACTTGTGTGCCATGGGATGACTGAGGTGGTGCCAGACAAGGACGGTTCTGATCCGTATGAGGTAAGCTGTCAGCTGCTGTCACCCATGCTTCCTGCTTTCTGCCTTTGTCCTCATTTGTGATAGATACAGCACGGCTCTAGTCATGTTCCCAAGCTGAGAATCTGTACTGCAGTGGATGCTAGCCAAGCAGTCCTTGGCAGGTGATTCTGTTTTTCATCCTTCCCTGAGGTAGATAGTTGGAGCAGAGCCTCTAAACCATTCACAACAGCTCCATTCTATTAGTCACTGTTTTGTTTTGCCTGTTTCTAATGCCTTCATGGCAGAGTGAGAAATCCTCTAATCTTTGTTCTGTGCCAGCCCTAGGCAGCCTTGCTCAGTTCCCATATATGTGAAGCTCTGCTTTCGGCAGTGATTTGTTCTGCTTCCTAGGAGATCACTTTGCATCGTGCCTGGCTGGGTGCCCATAGGACCTGTCATGACTTCTGCTCAGCTTTCTTTTACTGAGCTGTAAATCCAGAGGTCCTGCGTGTTTTTCCCAGCTGAGCCTGCTGTATTTGTTCATAGGAACCGAAGAGACGTGGTATTTTCCAGCTGGTGGACAGTGGTAGCAATCTCACCACAGACTTGATTGTGCAAAGAATCATCAAAAACAGGTTGGCTTTTTTCATCTCCCAGTCCTGTCACACGCTGTTCAGTGTAGCTTGTCTGAAGACGAATTGACACGATCAAACAGGAAGAAAGAGTTGTCTAAAGGCACAGAAGAGAGGGAATCAGTGGACAGGTCCTCTTCCTTCCACAGCTTTGTTTTGAAACTTTGGACGGGCTGCTTACATGTGGATTTACTGGACTGTACAGGAAAAGGAGTAGCTACACTGTACTATGCCAGAATGTCCTTCACAGCATGTGTTGTATTATTTTTCCTCCCTATTAATGATAAAATTTCCTTTTTGTACTCTTGGGGATACAGCATTCCTTTACACTCAGAACTTTTCTCTTTTAGGCCTGAGACCTTCACCTTCAGTGATTTTTGACTCAGGCCAGTTGTAAAATTGAATTTGATATTGCAGCACTTAAGTCCCAGGACAGACTAAGCATGGTATAGCAGCATCTTCTGCAGAGGGGGGAATAAGCAGTGTTTGTACAATGCAGAAATTTATGAGTTCTGGAGTGATCATAACAGTTGTGAGAATGTGACGGATGCCACCTCTAGAAGAGGCGTGTGGGGGTTAATGATGAGGTTTCTGAAATACTTGTGGAACAAAGCAGCGTAGGAAAAGGCAGTTGCTCCCCTGTTCTGGGCTGGTTGTAGTCTCCTGGAGATACAGATGGATGAGAATCTCATGCAGTTCCCGAATTCTTGCAGGCTGGAGTTTGAAGCTAGGAACCAGAAGAAGGAAGCAAAAGAGCTGGCTGTGTTGGAGGCCATGAAGAAACTGGAAGAAGAGAAGCACTAGGCCAGCAGGGAACTGATGTATGGGTTGCAGAATGCTGCAGCCTCACCCTCCTCTGGAGGAGCAAAGAGCTTTTCCAGAGAGGACCCCTAAACAAGGACGCTGCTGCTGGCATGCACAGGATGTGTTGTCCCACCCTCGTCTCTCCTAGCTCCTCCTGCACTAATTATGCAGACGTAATGAGCTGGGATCCTGCTGCCTAGTTTTTCTTCCGTTAATCAGTCCCTGTTCCCTTTCCCAAGAGGAGATTTGACAAAAAAGAAAATGATTTTAATTGTAACTAATGTTTTAACATGTTGATGTGCTTTTACCTTCTGCCATTTCTGGCTTTTAGTAGATGGGAAGTGGAGCAGCTCTCTGGGCCCCTTCTGCCCCATTCCAGGTTCTGCTGTCCTGATTGGCGTCTGCGTTTCAGAACAGCCCTTCGGTTGGTGGTATGGGCTGCTTTACAGACTGGAGAGAACAAGCTCCTGGGGGAAAAGGACATGGCACTCATAGTTATGCCTGTGAGCTGTTGGTTAGGGATGTTAGGCTGTCAGCGTGACTGCCGCTGGAGATGCTGACTGTGTCCTGTGCTGTAAGATTCCCCATGTTGACTCTTCTCCGCTGCTGCGTCTGTGCAAATACCAGACCCAAAGCTACTTCTGGTTTAACTGGATAAAGCCTTTTTCCAGCTGTGACTGGTGCCAGTGCATCATTTGTTTCCCCACTAATTGGCAGCAGCTCAGCGTCTGCTGAGAGGGGTGAGTGGCTAGTAGCAAGGGACCCTCAGTACTAATGGTTTCCCTGGTTAGTAGAGGAATTTCTCTGCATGAGGAGTGGGAATGTTGGGAGGGGCTGCCAAAGGCTCTTCCTGTTGCAGGATATGCAGGACCCAGTTCTACATGTAGACCATGCTCAGAGCTCTGCTGGCTGCTGCTGCTGGAGTTCACCTTGTGTCTGATAGGCGTTACCTAAGGGAGTTACCTTGTGAGCTGAAATTCCATCTCTGTTAAGGCTGAAATGCAGCATGTTCATCTCCTGTGGGAACTGATGGGGCCTGAAGAGGATGGGTCTGGGAGAAGTTAGGTGCTGGGCTGAGCCCTCTTCTGCCTCTTACATTCCAGGGTGCCGTGCTGGGTGTCTCGGGCCACTCCCTGCACTGTGCTGTATGTCCTTCCAAGCTGGTTCTTTTCTTTCTTCTCTGTTGTACACTTCTGTTGCTGATCACTAATAAAATGTTGAAGAGTTGTGTGTCGGTCTCTTTGGGCCTTGAGTCCAGGCAGCAGAAAGCTGCCAGGCCTTTGGGTGAAAGTGGCTCCAAAAGTAGCTTTTCCCTAGGAGCTCTAGCTAGAATTCAGTGAGAGTTCACTAGAGGTATGAAAACAAACTATTTGCCCTTGGGCAGACTAGCCTCAGCTCTGGGACAATGTTAAATGTGTTCTGGCACGTGGGTTAGAGATCACTGTGGAGCCAGAAGCCATTTTTATTGACCTAGACAGTGCGAAGGGACCTTTGGTAGGCTGGTAGGCGATGTTCTGGGGGGGGGGGGGGGGGTTTCCTATTTGGGGGGTTTCCTATACTTTAAAGCTGCAGCAGAGTTTGCACAGGAAGGTCTGTGTCGCTGTAGTTTGGCAGTCACATAAACCATGGTGGGGTAGGGAGTTGGGAGGTGGTTTGAATACCTCTGCTGTGAACTTCGTCTCTTGTGACTCCGGGCGGTATGTGCAAGTGAACCCTGGAGGTCTGTTCTGCTGCTTTGGATGGTGGCTCTGGTGTGGCAGTAGCTGTGCAGCTCTATCACAGAGTTGTGCGGAGAGCTCGCCTCTGTGTGATGGCTAATCCCAGATCTGGTGGTCGCATATTGGCATTGTGGAAATGAATGTGTCATCTGTGACAAGGTATTGTCTAGAGAGCCAAGACACCCATCTGTGTGGGAACAATCCCAGCCTGGGCATAGGGCAGGAAGGAGGCTGGAGAGCTTGAAAAGCCTCCTGTCTGCCCCCAAAACGTACCTGGAGCCCCCTCGGGCACCTCTGACAGGACTGGCAGACCCATCTCTGGGCCGTGCGGACTGTGAGTGACCAGGGGTGCGAGCGTGCCTGCTTGTCCCAGGCTCCCCTGAGCTGTGCCTCTGGCTTCAGGTGCCTCGCAGCCCCGCTGCCGAGGCCCAGACGGGACAAGAGGGCCCAGGGAAAGGCCAGCAGGTCCTCGCTGTGTGGACGTTGGGTCGCTGGGACAGGCTCTGTTCCAGCAGGCGTGGGGCTCCGGGCTCCCCCTTCCCTGGGGTGCCAGCAGGCTGCGCGTGGCTCAGAGGGGCAGCGAGAGGGTTCTGCCCCAGCCCAGCGCTGTGCTTTGCGGAGAGCCTCTCCTCGAGCACCTCTGGCTGGAGGAGCGGAAAGGGCAGGGCCAGGGAAGCAAGCGAGTGACCCTGCTCCTGCTGCTGTGCTTGGTGGGAGGGGAGACGCTTCCACCCCAGGAAAAACACACCCGTCTTGCCCTCACCAGCTGGCTGCGGGGTGGTGGCTGCGATGAAAAGCCTCTTGCTGTGCTCCCTGCCGCGCTGGTGATGCTCCCCAGTCTGGGGACAGGATGCCTCCTTTCCAGTGGGGCCCAGCAAGTCCCCTCTCGTGTTGGTGCCCCTCCTGCTGGAGCCCTGCTCCTTCTCCCGCTTCTGCAGTGTTTTGCCCTGGGGCTGGGAAAGTTGGTCCTCACCCCTAAGAAGAACAGCAAATCCCTGCACTGCCCAGTCCCGCCTCGAGTCCGAGGGCGGCCGAGAGCAAGAATGACCCCTCTGCTGCGCAGGGTCCCACTTCTGCGGCAAAAAGTAGAGACTGCAGCAGAGTTCGTAATTAAAAACAAACAACTCAGCCACAGTGACAAATCAACCCTGGGCTGAGCATTTCTATGTAAAGGAGCTGCCTCTGGGCCCCAAACAGGTACAGTTGTTATTAAAAAATGACAGAACTATTTATTTTTTTCTCTCACAGCGCTCAGGTGCCTGCCCACTGGTATCACTTGTTTGCCTGGAAAACTTCAGCTTCGCTTGATCAGATGGAGCAAATTTTGCCTGGTGAAGCTGTTGTTCCTTGTGGCCTTACTGCCTTTTCTGAGCAGAAATCTTTTGCATTTGCTATTGCTCGCTCCAAGCGCCTCTGGGCCCTTCTCCTTCCACGCTTGTGTTCACTGACATCCTGTGAGCGCCAAGGGCCAAAGATTAACACAGTAAAGTAGGATAAAAGCTCATGAATTTCAAGTTTGTGACTTTGTTTACTGATGTCCCCCCCCCTCCCCCCCCCGGCAACT